CACATCTAATGTTGGACACTGTGTTGTGAGTTTTCTAAGCATGGGTTGGTTGGGTACAGTCAGTGCTTTGCTTTTATGAGCAGCCAAAGGGATATGCTGTTAGATACAACTTGCCAGTGTTCGGGCATACATACACAGTGTGACCCAATCACTTAACCTCATAAACCACATTACTTATCTGTGTGATTAGCAAAATATTCTTTTGGTTTGACGGCAGCATCTTCTTAAGGGCAAAGACCATCCATGCTGCTACTATGTAATAGTAGCATGAAACAGCTGTTGCTCAAATTCTTTGAGGTATTGTAATCTGAGGTGGCTGGGAACTTTTCAGGACCAGAAACTTCGGCCTATTCATGAGTTTGTATGGTATACAGTGAGAAATGGTCTGATCAGGGTAGCCATTATTGCACATAATTGCTTTGATGTGCCTGTTTCAGCATCAAGCTTGCACGGTGATCAAAATGGCTCATGTCTAATTTACAAGGTTGCTGATAAAGCCAATCTTACAGTTCATGGAACTGTAGGAATCCCAAATTGTTTATTCTGAGTGAAGGTATGTTTGTGGTGAACTGTGATAGAGAATCTGTTACCATTTTGTCAACCAGGGCCTCGAGTAAAAGGCTGTCATTTGATTGCTCCATTTCAAGGGTGAATTTGAGCACAGGATAGAGCCATTTACACATATAAGGACTTTCTTACATGCAAATTAGGGTCATATTGTCTGACTTTTGACTTTTCTGAGTGGAAGTAACAATTGATAATAAACAGAAATTCAGTAGATTTACTTAAAACCTGCCCAGTGATCCTTTAAACTGGATTAAAACTTGCTGATGATAATAGATTTTCATCATCTGTATCACAAACTACAGCTTAACTTTTGATTTAGGACATAAATACTGAATGAAGACATCCCCCGGGCCTTATGGGATTTATCCAAGGATACCACGGGAAGCGAGGGAAGAGATCGCAGGGCCTTTGGCGATGATCTTTTTGTCCTCACTGTCCACAGGTATAGTGCCGGAAGATTGGAGAGTGGCAAATGTCATTCCCTCGTTCAAAAAAGGGAATAGGGATAACCCTGGAAATTACAGGCCAGTTAGTCTTACTTCAGTGGTGGGCAAATTATTGGAAAGGGCTCTGAGAAACAGGATTTGTGATCAGTTGGATGGCACAGTTTGATTCGTGATAGTCAGCATGGATTTGTGAGGGGTAGATCATGCCTCACAAACCTTATTGAATTCTTTGAAGAGGTGACCAAACACGTGGATGAAGGTAGGACAGTCGATGTGCTATACATGGATTTAAGTAAGGCGTTTGATAAGGTTCTCCATGGTAGGCTCATGGGGAAAGTAAGGAGGCATGGGATAGGGGGAAATGTGGCAGATTGGATTCAGAATTGGCTGACCCTTAGAAGACTAAGGGTGGTAGTGGTGCTCCGTTACGAGTGGTGTACCACAAGGATCTGTTCTGGGTCCTCTTCTATTTGTGATTTTTGTAACTGATTTGGATGTAGGAGTGGAAGGGTGGATTAGTAAATTCGCAGACGATACGAAGGTGGGTCGAGTTGTGGATAGTAGGTTACAAAGGGACATTGATAGGATGCAGAGCTGGGCTGAGAAGTGGCAGATGGAGTTTAACCCTGAAAAGTGTGAGGTGATTCATTTTGGAAGGACAAACTTGAAAGCAGAATACAGGTTTAACGGAAAGATTCTTGGCAGTGTGGAGGAGCAGAGGGATCTTGGGGTTCATGTCCACAGTTCCCTGAAAGCTGCCACCCAGGTGGATAGAATTGTTAAGAAGGCATATAGTGTGTTAGCTTTCATTAATAGAGGGATTGAGTTCAAAAGCCGTGAAGTTGTGCTCCAGCTATACAAAAGCCTGGTTCAGCCACATCTGGAGTATTGTGTCCAGTTCTGTTCACCTCATTACAGGAAAGATGTGGAAGCGTTGGAAAAGGTGCAGAGATTTACCAGGATGTTGCCTGGAATGGAGGGAAGGTCTTACGAGGAAAGGTTGAGAGAGCTAGGGCTTTTCTCTTTAGAACGACGAAGGACGAGAGGTGACTTGATAGAGGTGTACAAAATAACCAGAGGTATAGATAGAGTGGACAGCCAGAGACTTTTTCCTAGGGTGGAGGTAGCTATTATGAGGGGGCACAGTTTTAAAATGAGTGGAGGTAGATATAGGGGAGATGTCAGAGGTAGGTTCTGTACTCAGAGTGGGTGGGACGTGGAATGCATTGCTGGAGAGGGTAGTGGAGTCGGCGTCATTAGGGGCATTTAAGCGGCTATTAGCTAGGCATATGGATGATAGTATAAGGTAGGGATGGAGGTTAGATAGACCTTGGATTTAGGGTAAAAGTTCGGCACAGCATCGTGGGCCGAAGGGCCTGTACTGTGCTGTACTGTTCTATGTTCTATGCTTGACCCCTATCTTAAGAAATACATTGGCCCGATTCTCACCCAGGCAACACTCACCATTAGATTGCTGCGCTCACCCTTGTTTTCATTCAGTATCTGTGTCTATCCTATTTAGTTCTGGTCTCAACTTCCAAAGCTGAATCCTTGTCGGGAAGGACAGTAATAGGAAGCCAAGCCATACCCCTTTCTTACTGCGGTGATTGCCGTATTTGTATAAATTCATGTATTTACTAACACATTGAATAACTCTAGTTATGGGATTCAATTTGAGGTTAGATGGCTGGGTGGCAAGGGGCCAAACTGTGTATGGTGGTATCTAGCAAGTGAAGGTGGGTGGAGTCGGGTTCACTCTGGGGTGGGCTTTGGGTCAGCTCTGCAGGTTCAGGGTGTGGCTCGGTGAAAGGGTGGGGGGTTTGGAGCCGGATCCAGAGCGGGTATGAAGTGGGTGGGAGTTGGGACAGGTGTCCAGGGTGGTCTGTGGTGGGGTGGTCATTGAGTGCTCGGGGTATGTGTGTGTCAGCGTGTGTGCATGTGTTTGCTGGCTAATTATTCGTCTCAGTCAGTCGAAATTCTCTGAAGTCTCTGACTCTAACTCAGTATTAAGGACTTACCCAGAGAGCTCAAGGTGCCAGAGCAATCGTCTATTGGAAGTTTAAACTCTCTGGGCAATTACAACTTCAGGACTTCTGAGGGCACCCGATGCACATCTTTCAGAGTAAATCAAGTTCCAACTGTCCAGAGGCTGGGAGATCTGGGTCACAGTTCTATAAATGCTGTTCATACACACTGATTGTTCCTCAACTGGGAGTGAACTGTTTAGGCCTCAGCGAAGTAAGGGAACATGCTGATGGATGAGGTATGCTCACATTATCACAATCTATTTTCTTCACTAACTGCCTTCTGATTGCCTGGAGAATTTCTTTAAGGATATAAAATTATGCGAATGTTGATGTTGGTCACCATCTGACAGGTCTCTTCATGTACCTTATGGAAGCCTTTGGGTGAACAGCTGAAGCTTTATATCTGCTGTCAAACTGTGTGTGAAAAAAGGGCACTTCTGTTAGGAGACTTATTCTTGGCTGAAAGCTTTATTTCCATTTAGTAACCAGTGCGGATCAAGGTTTTCTTGACTAAATTTTATGACCACAGTTGGTCAAAACCTTTTACTTGGTACATGTTGTCTAACATCTGTATCAGTTTGTTTGATTTATGCCTTGAACACTTCCACATTTTAATGGAATTCACTTCCATGACCATGACCACACTCTCTGGCATGTTTGACTGCAGCTTTATACTTAAAGCTGCCACAATGTTTTTCAATAACTATGCAATGCGAATATTTGAAGTGCTGGTGAAGTTGGCTGCAAGAAAAGGAAGGCTGATGCAAAAATAGGGTTTCAGTCAGCAAGGTGATTGTCCATTGTTGCAGGAGAGAAAAGCAAATCTTCATGTTTTAAGCAAACATTCACACAAAAAAATCCCATCTGAATGATCATGATTCTGTGAAAAATTTAGCGATTTTTAATGAATGCTTCTAAATCTATAACTTCTAACTTGTTTCCTTCAACATAATCTTTATATGGTGAGTCAGCACTTGTGCCATCAAGTCGTGTGGTTTATCCATTTCACACATGACCAATGATTGGCCGTATGAAGACTCCTTTAATGACCCTAGCCTCTAAGTAACTTGTGGTGCCCATCTCAGAATTGGTGCTTAACAGGGCCATTTCAAGTTACTGGAGTTTCTTTCAAAGGCCTGGGATGACAGAGATGGCATTATGTCTACAGCACTAAAATGCAAAGAGGAACAAAGGTTTACCTTTTAGTGTAAAGGGAAAGCAGAGAGAGAAGTGTTTGCTGCAAGGACATTCAGTGTTCCATGTGGATTGTGGCAGGTGAGAAAAGAGAAAAGGAATAAGGTGTGAGGGAACCTTCAGTATTTCCAGTGTTACCATTTGATGAGACTGTAAATCTCCCTTAGCCCGTGAAGACTTACCCTTTTGTGTGTATGGGAAGGCAGATGTGCAGGCAGACTTGGCCTCCTTTGGAGGCATCCTATCCCTCCACCCGAGCCCCTTAGTTTATTATAGATCATGACCATTTGTGAAGAACTTGGCAGCGATACTCTGAGCATGTATCTAGATTCGTGAACTTCTGCATAACTTTCTCTCAAATGATCGAATGGTTAGACCCTAGATGGAGTCCATTCGGGACTCTGTCCTCACCAGAAAAGATGTAGATGTTCGTCCTGGTGCAGGAGCCTCAGTCACCTTTCTGGTAAAGCAGTGGATTGTAAGCTGGGAAAGGTTGCTGTCTTCAGTTCCTGCAGCCAAAAAGGAGCCAGTTTCATAAAGGATGTGTTATTTTTGCAGTGAATTTGAGGCTCAAGTTGCATTAGCAGCAGGTGATATAGCTCAGTGGTAGTTTTCTTCATGAATTAAAGATATTTGATGCGTTCCTCAGGTTGAGGTGGGAGAAATTCTTCCTGAAGACCTGCTATTTGAACTCTATCACATTCCCTCACTGATCTCTCCATTTTTTTTTCACTCTCATCTCCAGCCCCTAAGGAAGTCTGACCAGACTATTGGGACTCCCATGAAGCTGTTTTGAAAACCCTAAAGCAATGTTTGGTTACAGAAGTGAGAAAATCAGTCAAAAACACTGAAGGTAATAAGCAGGCAAAAGGAACCCTGCAGTAACTAACCTCTAGGTATTAGATGTACCTCTTTATTTGGTAGTGTGGCTATGGTGCTGTTTTGCTAGGGGTGTCTGTATTTATTATCTCCGGCAGCGAATTGGAAATCTAATGGAGTGGTAGCGATCAGAGAGGGAATATTATCCCTTTGTTCTGTAATTCTGTTCAGATTTTACAATATGTCACTCAGACAAAAATTCATTAAAACTTATGATTAATACATCCCTGCAATTTACAAAATGTTGCCCTACCCCATTGGGATTAACGGAGAGTGAATCCTGGAATCTAACCTCATTGAACGTTTTACAAATCATATTCTTCGTACTGGCACCCTTATGCATGCTGGAAAGCAACCACAGAGGCTGAATGAAATATGATTTTCTCTATTAATGTGAAAAAGCTCAGCACAGTTATTTTTAGCATCAATTGTGCTTACTTTCCTAAAGCTGCAGAATAATTTACTTTTTGAATATTAAGTTGAACAGCAGTCTGGCAGCAAGTTCAGAAAGCCTCCTCCGATACCCTCAAGCAAAATCGAAACAGAAAACGCTAGAAATTCTTGAGCAAAATACTACAGATGCTGGAAATCTGAAATAAAAACATAAACTCTTGAAAATGCACAGCAGGTCAAACTGTACTTGTGGAGAAAGAAACAGAATTAACATTTCAAATCCACGATCTTTCAACAGAGCTGGAATAAGTTAGAAACAGAACAGTGCATAGCAAAAACAGAGTAGGGAGAAGGAGTGAAGCAGGCAACAGAGAACTTTGGTGCAATGGTGGAAGGAAACTAAATTAAATGACAAAGGGGAGATAGTGCAAGGTGATAGGGAATGTAAATGGGATAAACACAGAAAAAAGTAAAAAGATGCATCGAGAAGAGGTGGAAATGTGAAGAGCGATGGAAATAATTCTTGAGGTGAGATAAATGGGGTTAGCAATGGTACCATGAGGGCGGACTGACTCCAGTAGACATTAATGGTTGAGTGCCAGTGATGCATCCACCCGGGGAAGTAAAATTCCCAGAAATCAATGGGAGAGGGTATTGTCTGGTGTAATGTAAGTAATTTTATGGTCGTACAGTTTATTAGTCTGTTCTACTGTGGGTGTATGAATCATTTAATTCATTTGAATTTACTTTGGATCATTGAACAATGCACTCACCAAATTTTCTGTCCTCTTGTGAAAATTAAGATTTATTGAGTTTATATGTACAGTATCTGATGTAGATGTGGATAAATGCCAAGAGCCTAACTCAATTAATCAATCAATTAAGTTGTTTGGACCAAAATTAATAACTTTCAAATACCTCCAGGCAGGGCCAGGGATCGGTCAGGGTGTAAATAAGCACCTAATAACCAAGACCTGAGGCTTCAGGAGCAACATGAAGGCCTGTGATTTCTGTCCCTGTTCCTGCTTCTCAGGCTTGCCTATTGCACCATGTGACATATTGATGCAATTGTGACAAATGAAGCAAGTTTACACTGGGGCAGATTTTAAAGATTAAGTTGATGTTATTTGACTTCTGGAAAGATTACAATAATTCCTGTGATATTGGCTATTTGTATGAGTCATGCTGCTTAAATAAGAGCTTATGACTCAACCAGCCTTTCAGACAATGAGTTCCAGATTCCCACCACCCTCTGAGTGAAAACAAATCTCCTCAACTCACTTCTTAGCCTTCTACCTCTTACCTTAATTCTATGCCCCTAGGTTATTGATCCCTCTACTAATGGAAAAAGTGCCTTCCTATCTACCCTACCCATACCTTTAATTTTATACGCTTCTACCAGGTCCCCTGTCAAACATTGCTGCTCCAAGGAAAACTATCCCTGACAGTTCTAAAACAATGACCCATACTGTGTTAAGTCCTGCATTTAGCTCCACATATAACTGGTAACTATTAGGTTGAGATTTACTGAGATACAAAATGCTGTTACTCTTTATATAAAAGTAAAAAGATAAGCTGGTCCATCAAACCAGTTTCATAGCATGTTTTTGTGGGAATTTGCTGTACACAAATTGGCTCCCCAGTTTCTTTAAGTACGAAGGAGATAACACTTCACAAATACATCATTGGTTGAAAAGAACTTCGAAGCAACTGCTGATAATGAAGATGCTATATAAATGCATGTCTTTACTCTTTCAGAATTACAAATACTTTACGATGAAGTTTGTGTTGTGCTTCTAATAAACTGATTGCGAAGCTCATAAGTGCCTTATGGGACTGGGACCTCTGCTGTTACAGCACACAGTTAGCCAAAGTGTTGAAACATTGGCCTGTATTTCCCATTGCCAGGTAACTGTTTCAGAAGAGTAAATGGGAGTAGCACTGGGGGAACCCTGCAGAATTTCCATCACAGCTGACTCAAAGGAATTGCCCGGGAAATCGTACTTTGCAGTGGGAAAATTCCCTATGCCTGGAGCCTTCTGAAAGTATCCATTTCAATTGGAGAAATCAGAGGGTTCCATTGCAATTTGTCAGTAAATGCAAAGTCTAACCTCTGAGTAACTATTAAGCTGATCCCCAATTACCTCACACAGCCCCAACTATACCTGCCCCAGACCCTTAACTCTTCTCAGATCCTGCCTTGACACTCCCTCTCCCCTGGGGCTCGACTCCCTGCTAGTACCTGACTTCCCTTCTCTCGCCGCTGGATCCGACCACTCTGCCCTGCTGCTGGACACAAGTGCCCTCCAAATCCAATATCTTCATCCTACTCTAAATGTTGCATCATTTAATTGGTTCAGCCCTCATCATTAACTGAGCCGTGAGGATTTTCTTGTTATTCCACCATATCAAGCTTCTTGAGGCTTCAGAACATTGCTGTGTATAGGCATCATTATGTAATTAAATGAGTACAGGAGTGTGTTGCTTCACTGAATTCTACAATACTACCAATTAACTGAATGTGACTCATTTCGATCTGCAGAGTCAGCAATCAGCAGGAAATTCAACACCAATTAGATCCCAAGCTATGTAGTCGAGCATCTGAACGCAGTAATTGTGTGCGTATCACTTTGGTTACAATTATTAATAGAAATCTGCCCATGATTTAACATTTTATTTTAGTCAGGTTGACTTTCTATAGTTTTATAAAATATTCAATCTGAGGCTCAGTGTTTTTCCCATGCACTAAATAATCCTGAATTGCTTTGAATGCCCTTACAAGGAGTATAAAAGAGCATCAAGCAAAATTAAATCCAGCAATCACTGTTTATTAAAACCCAAATATGTTCACTTAGACTCTAACTCCAAAGCCACATTTCAGTTTTTGTTCCTTGCACATCACCGTAGGACATAGATATCCACAATAAGCTTTTTAAATTTTAATAAATAACATAGGGGCTTAAAGATAACGTGAGATTATTAGTTCAGGAGTCACTTGTACGTCAAGATATTTCTCCTTTCGTGGCACTAGCATATTTGTTGAATGATATTGATATAGATTGGATATTATTTTCATATTGTGTATAATCTTCCCTTCTATGGCACTAATAAATGTGAAAGCTAGAAGTCAAATTCTGATTTTATTATTAGTAACAGAGGAAGAGGAGTAAGCGATTCAGATCCTCCAGTTGTTTTATTATTTATTTTGATCATGAATGATCTATACCGTAAATCTGTCTTTCTTTGTTTCGTTCCCCTTGATATCTTTCTCTCCCTAGGAGGTAGGGAAAAATTAGGTACAGACACCGTGGGTAGCTCTTGTGCATATGCTAGTGACTGTGGTTCTATCTTTAAGCAGTAAGTTTATACTAGCAATTAATTATTGCATATATAGACTCTGAATAACCCTACTGTCAGAATGGCATTTGTACTGAATTATTAATTAATTTGGTTTTACTTTGTGATTCCTAGAGAGGTGTAGTTAATAAACTACTGTGGTAGCATATGTGTGTTCATTAATGCTGCAATTTCATTTTAGTTGATTTGAGTCTCTTAAACTCTTCATTGTGTGATCCCCTATATCATTGATAAATTGAGCAGTTTCATGGAAAGAACCTTCCACAGGGATGACTTGTGCATTTAAAACATTAACCTACTTGTGTTAGAACATGGAATAGGGAGCAGTACACCACAGGAACAGGCCCTTCAGCCCGCCATATCTGCACCGATCATGATGCCATTCTAAATTAATCCCATCTGCCTGCACATGGTCCATATCCTTCTATTCTCTGCCTTTTCATGTGTCTGTCTAAATGCCTCTGAAACGTTGCTATTGTATCTGCTGCCACCACCTCGGCAATGCGTTCCAGGCACCTACTACCCACCATGGAAAAAAGCCCTGCCTCGCACATCTCCTTTAAAGTTTATCCATCTCACCTTAAATCTGTGCCCCTAGTATTTGCCATTTCCACATTTGCTAGTTCCTGAAAATAATGCTATTGCTTGAATCATCTTCAGCAATTTACCCTTTTCTTGAGCACTAGGAAGATTCATGGATTTTACTGAGTGACAGAATATCTTCTTAAACATCAGTTTTTCTCAGTAAATTTCAATTTCTGTACGTTTGCTTGCATCTTGCAGTTCAGACTCATTCATTGGATATGTCTCTTTGTCTAAATCAACAGATTGTAGATAACTGTGGTACCAGCACTGAGTCTTGCAGCACTTCACTAATTACAGCCTGCCAGCTTGAAAATGTCCTATCTATCTTTAGTCTCTGCTTCCTGTCCAATAACAAATCCTCAAACAATTCTAATACTTTACCCTCAACTCCATGTGCCCTTAGCTTCCATTTTTTGTATAGCATGTTATCAAATATCTTTTGAAAATTTACTGCATCTACAGATTCCCCTTTCTATAACCTGCTGTTTACACCCCCAAATTTGTCAAATGCTATTTTATTTTAGTAAATGTATATTGAATCTGTCTGATTATTTTTGCAATGCAAAGTGCGTTATTAGGATTCCATTAATAAGAGGTTCCAGAATTTTCCTGACAACCGTTGTCCAAGTGCTAGAATCA